ATAATCGATTATGCTTTTATCAGAACAAAAATGTCACTAAATGTGGATTTTTGGAGGTGAATGGTTTACAACATGATTTCAGGCTCTCGCTCTGTCTGCCCCACTATGGGGCCACCATACTTGGCCTAAGCTACCTCCTGTGCCTTGCTTTTTTACCCTAAGGACATCAGATCCTGAAAGCCAAGCTGGGGTGGGCTGTGTCCCCAGCCCAGCTATTCAAGGCTGAGGGCCACCAAGCCCACAACTTCTCCATCAGCCTGGGCAACAGTACGACTCAATCTCAGAAGACAAAAATGAAACAAGAGCCCACTAAAACTAATACACTACGGTCGACTTCCGGGAGAACATGGCGGACAGATAGCAGGAGCTACGGAGGCTCTCTAAACACCCAGCTTAGAATTCAGGAATGGTGCTGAGTAAGGAATCATAATCAAGAGGAGATATGCCCCGGTGATCCAAGAACAAACTGGGCTGAGAGAAACCAACTGGGAATGCAATCCTGCTGCTATAACAGGAACAGATAAAGCCTCAGCGTGGAAGCTGGAGCCCGTGCCATTGGAAGCCGCGATTTGGGTTTCCCGCCGCCGCCACTGCGTCTGCATCGGCTCAGCAGGGAGAGAGACACGTGAAAGCTCTGAGAACGGGAATCGGTGAAGGGAGTTGAGAGCGGGATGGGCGGGGAGCCGTGCATCCACCTCCGGTGAGTGAGGGAAAACTGGGACTCTTCCACGGTCTAGGAGACTCCAACAGAGGGCATTCTGGGACCGGGCAGACTTGTGGGAACAGGGCGCTGCAGTGATTTCAGTCACGTATCCCCCTCTCAAGCTGGATTGGTGAGCAGTGCCTAGCCTACGTGACGCTGCTGGCTGAGACCCAGTAGGCTAGCACAACTCAGGTCCCAGCGCCTGAAGGTAGACTGACCTGGAGGGGTGGGCCTGAGTAGGCTGCCTGGTCTGCAACTTCCTGGTGTGCTGCGGTGGGCCCTAGCCGGTGCAATTCAATCAGACTGTGGCCGACAGGGAAGGAAGCTGGGCCTCCTATATACACTTGCATATATAAGGAACAAAGAATATGGGAAGAGGCAGCAACAAGAAAGGGTTCTCGGCCCCCAATCATGAGAAAGAGGCAACAGCAGACACAGCACCAATAGACATAAAGTGCTATCTCGAGAGCCTCATAGACAAGTTCAGGAATGAAGTTATTAATGACCTGAAGCTAGACATAAGCAGAATAGTTAGAGAAATGCTAAGCACCACCCAAGAAAAAACAGATGGTGGAATGGAAGGACAGAAAAAGAGGGGAGAATTGTTTAATGGAGAAAATAGAGAAAGCATAGAATACGTGAAGTAGGTTCAAAGAGATTACCAGGAAGCTAAAAAGTCTATTGAAAACTGGCATAACAGCTTGAAAGAAACTAAGGACAGATTATCTGAACTGGAGGGCAGATTTGTAATATGGGAGCATGAAATGAAAAACTTCTTAAAAATAACAAAGAAACAAACAGCAATAATACAAAGACTAGAAGATGATAAGAGGGTCTATAACTTAAGAATTAAGAACATAAAAGAAGAAGTAGGGACACAAACAAATGAACTACAAAAGCTACTCACAGAAATAATCCAGGAGAATTTCCCTAATTTAGCAAAAGGTAAAGATACTCAGTTGTATGAAGCATACAGGACCCCAGCTACCTACAACCCAAACAGAGCAACACCCAGGCATATAATAATAAAAATTCCAGAAATTCAATACAAGAACAGAATACTAAAAGCCATCAGAGACAAGAAACAGATCACTTACAAGGGAACACCCATCAGAATTACAGCAGACTTCTCGGCACAAACCATCAAATCACGAAGAGCGTGGGGGGAAATAATCCAAGCTTTGAAAGATAATAATCTCCAGCCAAGATTGATATATCCTGGAAATTGATGGAAAAACAAGGTGCTTCCAGGATAAAGAGGAACTAGGGGAATATGCAACCACCAATTCAACTCTACAGAGAATACTGCAAGATATTCTAAAAAAGAAAAATACGAAGAATCCAGAAGTAGCGGCAGAGAGGCCACAATGAATGGAGCAGAAAACAAAATGAAGAAGACAAACTGACAACTAATGACAGAAAAAGAGCTCAACAGAAATGAGGCAGAGAAGATTGGATGATAGGAACAGCTATTTTGGAGAAAATGACATCTTAAGAGGTAATACTGATTTAGTATCATCTTGTTTTGAAGTCTCATCAAGCTTTTGTTCTTCTGTCTCCATTGGTCTAAACAGGTGGTATCTTATTGGATTTTATTATATATGATAGTATAAGCAAAACCTTTTATAGACAAGATTATACAGAAACCATTGTTCATTTTCTGTTAGTTGATTCTAAATACCCTGTAATACTGTCATTCTCTTAGATGGTTTTACATTGTTTTGATATATTTAATGCTACAGTATATGAAGTTATACTCAAAGATTTCAAGGAAAGAGACACTATGGTAACTACTTTTATGTCAGGATAATCTTGTGGTGAAACACTATTTTGCTTAAATGGTTATGTTTTGATCTGCGCTGATTTGCTGTTATGCCCTCTTTTATCTCAATCTCCATTTTATTATTTTTTATTCTTTTAATTAAGGGAAAAATAAATTAAAAAATAGCAGGATATATTATAGTAACCCACTTTGGCTTTCCATTTTCTTGATTTAAAGCCCTGTATTGCTCTCACCATCTTGTTTTGACTGATGTTCCTCTATCCTGTTTTGCTTGATAGCACCAGGTTCAAAAGTTTAGGCAACAGCTGCGAAGATAGTGGGATTCATTATTACGCCCATTCTGGTTGACTATTATCTACTTTTGAAGACCTATAATGTCTCCAATGTTTTGGCTTTGTTGGTTTTGTTCTTTACTGTTTTGTTCAATTTATTATAACTAATGATATAGGCAATTCTATTAGAGATAGCGGGAGGCATTATGGTAACCATTGTTGATCACCTAGCATTATGCTCTTACATTATCTATTACGTCCACCCTTTTGACTGTTCTGTTATGTCACATTTGGTTCTACTCTCTTCCAAAAAAGTAATAAGAACTGTGGGAGCAACAAAACCCAAAATGTGTAATTGTCATTGTACAAAAGAGAGGAAAAGAAAGTGCTCTAAACGATATAACTGCATGTATATTTAAGTGTATAAGATAGGTAATGAAATTACTGAGTTTTGTTGGATCATTGAACAGAACTGTTTGCAGTCTCACTGTTGGAATGTCCACTTTATAAGCTTTAATTTTGTAACTAGAACAATTATTTCCAAGATGACAACATGTAATCCATTAACTAGTGATTTCCTACTGTTTATTTTTTTCTGTAAATCTGTATAACTTGTACCCTTTCTCTGCTCTTTCTTTTTCTCCTTAAATAAAATTTAAAAAAAAAAACTAATACACTACAACAGAACAGCTTTAATATGAAATGGAAATATAAAAACTGTAGTTGCAGGAAACTTATGTGATCTACATGGAGTTGAGCAGGAAAGCAGAATAATGGTTTTGTTAATTCATTTGTGGTACTTAGAATTGAACGCAGAACCTCAGCTACATCTCTGCCCCACCTCCTTTAATTCTGAGACAGGTCCTGCTAAATCACCCAGGATAGGCTGGAATTCACTATCTTTCTGCCTCAGTCTCCCAGTGTTGAGGTTACAGGAGGGTGCTTCTGAAAATACCACCAAAATCTTTCTCTGTACAGTATGCTCACACAAATGCACACACAATGCAGTGATTGGGAGGATGTGCTCTAAAATATGAATGGCTGCGTATCCCTGTAATCCTAGCACTCTGAGGTTGAGGCAGGAACACTGAAAGCTTCAGCCCAGCCTGGACAATTTAGTGAGGACCTGTAAGTATATAAATAAATAAAGATGTAGCCCATGTGAAGGTCCTCGGCTTAACCCTCCATACCTCCAAAGTTAACAGTAACTATCTCTGAGAGTTGTGCTCGCTTCGACAGCACATACACTAAAACTATCTCTGAGAGTAGAATTGTGGGCAATTTTGTATTTGGGAGGAGTAGGAACTTACTTTCTACATAAATGCCATTACCTATATACATTTTTGTGGGGGCAACGTCTTGCTATGCAGAGTTCAGGCTGGCCTTTGACTCACCTATATAGCCCAGTGAGGTCTCAAACTCATGACAATCCTCCTGCCTTAGCCTCCTAAAGTGTTGGGATAAAAAGCGCGCAGTATCATGCCCAGGCACACTGAATGTTTAACTGGCAAGTGGGTCAGTGAATATTCTGTCTTCAAATTGTAGATCTATGAGGATAGCCTCATACTAAGCTTCAATTTAGAATGCATGCTAAAACTCAGGTGGAAGGAAAAAAAAAAAAAGCACGGTATTTCTTCTTCTGAATCTCACAGCTTGGCAAAAGTGGCTATTATTGTGTCCTCTCAAAAATATATGCTGAGGTCTTAACCATGAGTACCTAAAAATGTGACCTTATTTGGAAATGAGGGTCACTGGAGATGGAATTGGTTAGGGTGGGAATTCCAGAGAAGAGGACGGGATACAGATCCAATTTGCTCCAGATCCTCGATGAGCTGGGTGACAGCCAGGGAGAAGCTGCCCGAGGCTACAGCAGGTCAGAGCGACCAGCAAACCCCGGGGCTGCCCAAGCCAGGGGCTGCCTGACATATCTGAAGCCAGCATGGTACTGGCTTCGTACTGGAAATTTTGTGTTTGGGAGGAGTATGAACTTATTTTCTAAATAAATGCATTATCTATATACATTTTATCTTTTTGAGACAGGGTCTTGCTGCGTAGTTTCGGCTGGCCTTGAACTCACTATGCAGCCCAGGCTGAGATCCTCCTGCCTGAGCCTCCCGGAGTGCTGGGATTATTGGCATGCGCCACCACACCGAGTTTGTTTAATTTCTGATCAGAGAATACTTTCAAGAACATGATCTTGAACGCAGGAATGCTAGGAAGCAAACAAGAGCACACAAATAACAACAGCTAACTGCAATTTTAATTCATCTAATTCAGCACTGTTTTCAAAGATTAGCATTTACAGTTGTAGTAAAATAAAGCTTCATAAAGTTAAATGTCCTCAGCATTTAATTTCAACACTAACCTCACTCTTTACTCTCAACCACAAGGGTAATCTTTACTTTTCCCTTAAATATTTTGTCTTAAAGCAAAATGCAGGTAGAGCAAACAAAAAGTCGGGTGCTAGGGGGCTGGGGATTTAGCTCAGTGGCATAAATGCCTGCCTGGCAAGTGCAAGGTCATGAGTTTGATCCCTGGTACTAAAAAAAAAAAACAAAAAACAGTAATAAAAAAACTGCGGTGCTGCAGTCAGCACCAGCCAAGCCTCACATGTCTCCAGGTGTCACCTCTTCAGGTACAGCCACCCCTGTGTAGTCTGGGAACCACGGAATAACATGAATATAAGTGCGGGAAGGTTTCATGACACAGGAGACACACAAGTTCTTTGTGACCAACTCTTGTTTTTTGAAAGAGTCTCACTATGCATGCAGTTCAGACTGGCTTGAACTAAGTAGCTCAGGCTGGCCTCGTACAGATCTGCCTGCCTTAGCTAACTCTCAACTGTGGGATTATGGCCACACAGTACCATGCCTGGTGGCCAGCACTAAGGCCCTTCTCTCCTCTGGCCTTGCCACTTGAGAAAACTCTGAAAAGTGTTTGTCTGAATGGCAGCTCTATCAGGCAGAAACTGTGCTTCTACACCTGGGAAGCCACAAAACACATCTTGCTGATTGGGAGCCAACAACAATGAATATATCAAACACTTAAAAAAATCTGTCATGGGGCTAGGGATTTAGCTCAGTGGCACAAGTGCCTGCCTGGCAGGCACAGGGTTGTGAGCTCAATCCTCAATATAAAACGAAAAAAACTTTGTCATGGTGCTTGGATTCAATACAGGACCTCACACACACCAGGTAAGTGCTCTACCACTAAGCTACACTCCTAGCCTTGAAAAAGTTTTATATTTTTTCTTATTTAGTGATGGGTATTTGCTATCTTACCCAGGTTAGTCTAAAAGCTGTACACTGAAGCAGTCCTCCTGCCTCAGCATCCCAAGTAACTAGGACAACAGACATACACCAGTGTACATTCCTACGTGATAGTTTTTTTGTTTTCTTTGAGACAGGATCAACCTATGTAGCTTAGGCTGGCCTTGAGCTCACAGTGATCCTCCTGCCTCAGTCTCCTAACTGGGATAACAGGCATGTACATCAAGCCTGGTCCCTGATGATTTTTTCTTAACTTTAAAAATATCTTTGTTTATACTAACAAACATAAAACATTTCTCATGAATAAAGTCTCAAAGCCAGGATGGTTCTTAGTAAGATGGAGCTTGCCAATAAGCGGGATATCATGGGCTCTGGATGCCGTTGTGGGAAAGGAAAGATCAGCAATCATGCTGCCCTTCTACCCACGTGTGCAGGAAGGGCTGGGCAACAGGCACAAGGAGACATGTCCACAGTGACCCTTCTGCAGATACGGGAGAAGGGCCCACGCCTGCAGTCCCAGCACTCTGGGAGGCTGAGGCAGGAGGACTGCAAGTTCAAGTCCAACCTGGGCCACTTATCCACATAGTGAGAACTGTTTTCAAATAAAAAATAAGTAGGGGGCTGGGGATGTAGTTCAGTGCACAGGCCCTAGGTTCAAGCCCTAGTACCATAAACAGAAACCAGAAAGATCCAGTCTAGAGCAGAGCCCCGTGAGCCAGAGGGCCACAGCAAAGCCTTGGCCTTCGGCTATGCATAGTGAGAGTTAACTGCACAGAAAGATAGGACACTAAGGCCTTGTGGTCAGTTGGCTGGGTTTGCTCATTTCAGACCTTTTCTAGGGAGTTCATCCACTTCTAGATTCTTCCAGAGTTCATGAATACAGGCTCTGCTCCAAACCCTTGCAAACTTTCCTGCCTTCAGTCCCCTAAATGCCTGGGGTTTGGAAGAATGGTCTCCCTGTATTTCACCACAGAATCAGGCACCGAGGTTCTGCAACTTGTCCGAGATCACAAAGCCTGACAATGCTGCTGTTGGATTTGAAAGGAGGAATGATTTTCCCTAATGATCTCTTGGAGAGAGATATCTGACTTTGAAAAATTCTAGGACCCTGTCTGAGGACAGAAAAGCAATACCAAGAACTGACAGCCCACTTCCTCATCACACCCTGAGGATGTGATCTCTATAACAACAATGCAGTGTTTGTTTCTTTTTGAGACAGGGTCTCACTAGGTGGTTCAGGTTGGTCTTGAACTTACTATCTAGCACAGGCTGGCCTTGGACTCATGGCGATTCTCCTGCTTCAGCCTCCTGAGTGCTGGGATTATAAGTACTTGTCTGGTAGGCAATGTTATTTCTTGACACACACAAACAGGAAAGTGCGCAGAGGATTCCAGGGGTTCTCCCATTTTCAGTGAAGGGCTGCAGAAGGTCCAGTCTGTTTTGAAATGTTTGTGTGAAATCATACTGATCAGTACCGCCTACTGGATAGGTCAATTGGGAGCTGATTCAGTATAACTTGCTTCTCTACCACAGAGTCTGGCACACAAAAGGCAGTAAATAAATAGTAAGTTGACTGTTAAAAAAACAGTTTCAAGTAAAGTTTAAGTGTAACTGTGTATATCCCAATTCATTATTTTGTCATAGTCTTGAATTCTTTGCTTTATGTGAGAAAGTTTACTCTTGAGGTAATCACAACGTTCTTTTTTTTCCAGAAATGAAGGATCCTAGAAAACAAACACAGCTATTACTTTGGCATCCACCTTCTCCAGCAATGAAGACAAACATCATCCTTACCCAGAATATGGCCTCGTGGTTTCCACTGAGACTGAGACGCTGAGCTACCCCCAATACAGGGATGCTCTGTGCCGCCAGAGCCTGAGCCAGGCTCTCACACATGCCAGGCACACGCTCCAACACTAAGCTACTCCCCAGCCCTTTTTTGGGGGGGAAACAGGGACTTACAATGCAGTTTAGGCTGTCCTTGAGCTCATTTTGTAGCCCAGGCTGATCTCGAACTCGCACTGATCCTCCTGCCTCAGACTCCAAAGTGCTGCAATTACAGGCATGCACCACCATGCCCAGAACCCTGCGCAGACCCCTTTTCAAAATTTTTTAAATTCTAAACTTATTTATTCTAAATCCATTTTATTTCAAGGATAAAAAGAAAGAAGAGGAAGAGGAAGAAGAGGAAGAACAAGAGGAAGAAGACGAAGAAAACAACAAAATTTCAAAAATGGTAAATACATTGAGCATCCCAGCCTTCTTTGTTATCTTCTTCTGCTGCTTCTTCTTTTTTTTTTTTTTTTTGTTACAGGGAATTGAACTCAGGATCTCACGCTCACCACAGGCGCTTATGCCACTGAGCTAAATCCCCGGCCCCTCCAGCCCTCTTTTTAAAAACAGATTTTATTTTTTAAGAGTAGTTGTAGCAAAATCAAGCAGGAAAAACAAAGCATTAAGGCAGCTTTAGTTTGCAGTACATAAAAAAGTAAATGGCGAGTACAGAAAATTGAATAAAAGCAGCCGCAGCCTCTCATTGGTAGGGGGATGAGAAAAGGTGGGAAGCTGTAAAGGAAGTTAAGCTTTTGGAAGGAACTACAAGACCCTAAACAACAACTTTAGATATGTTTATTTCTGGACCTGTCTATGGAATACTTTCAGTGAACTATACCTAAGTAAAACCTTGAAACTCAGCTAAAAGAATCTGAGGTTTGGCAGTGATCACTCGCGTACCTGGCTAAGAACACACATACAGAAAGAAAACTGTTTTACTCACATTCTTCTTCCTTTTAAATTCTTCATGAATTCTGGAAATTCTCTCATGTTCCTAAAAATAACCAGAGTATACACATAAGTTAAAACATCTGTGTTTATTCAAGTCATGTCTCAACACTGGTTTATTGGTTTCTCATAGTTTACTTAAAACTATGAGAACAGTCACATACAAAATAGAATTTACTAAAAACACATACCGAGGGCCTACTGGCTGCAGGTCTCTGCTACATGAGGTCAGAACCTTGACATTGCCCTCTCTGCCAACTGTGGGAGCCCGGCAAGCTCTTCTCCCTCTCTAAGACTTGGTGTCTTGATTTATAAAGTGGGAATCTCAACCTTAATAACCTCAAAATGTTGTGGGAAGATTCACTTATAAGTGCTTGGTACATAATAACCACAGCAAGTTTTTTTTCTTTTTTCTTTTGTGATTCTGGGGATTGAACTCAGAGCTTTCCTTTGAGCTACTTCCAAAGCCCTCCCTCCACCCTGTTTTGAGACAATCTCTTGCTAGCTGCCAGGCCAGGCTGGAACTTGTGATCCTCCTGCCTCAGCCTCCCAGAGTGCTGAGATTACAGGCATACCCCTCCACACTCAGTCTGGTAGTTGTTATTATCACCATCATTCCCTTTGGAAAGTTCCTTTCAAGTAATTAAGTGTTAGAAATAAGAGGTCAAAGACTAACTTCTGAAGATAGCTAATGTAAGTTCCTTGTAATTTTTAGTGTTATAGTAAGTATAAAATTTGTTAACAGGGGGCCATATAGTTCAGTGGTGCAAGTACAAGGTTCTAAGCTCAATTTCTGGTACCAAAAAAAGGAAAAAAGTTCATGTGTCGAATGTTTCCTAAGGGCATAGATTATTAGAGCAGTTCCCTTATTGTATCCATGTGAACTGCAGAGATTACCAGACACTGAACAGTTAGATATAAAAAATAAAATGTAAGTTTTAGTTCTATGGGTTTCCTCCAAGAATATTTCCTTCCACTTAGCCACTTCCTCTTCTTAATACTTTTTTTTGTTTTTATTTGATATGTAGCCTGGTGTTGGAGACTACTACAAAGCGGCCCTGAGCAGGATTTAAAATTAACTAATTGGCTTTCTATGTTTATCTGTGAGTCTGTCCTAGGCCTCGGCCCCTTGCCTGGCAACAGGAGCTAATTCATAGTAAGTGAACCTCTGAATCACTGGTCCTGGCTGAGGCCTGTAGTGGCCTGTGAGGCCAGAGATACCTCAAAGGGCAGGATAAGGCCACAGCTGTGGACACTTGGCTCCAACCCAAATTAACAAGATACAGTCTGCAGCTACAGAAATTACTCCTAGTCTCACTTCTTCCATGTCTTCATGATAAGACAGTGCTACTGAATTGACTTGATTCATTACCTGCTCATTGCCTGCGCTTTCCTCAGTTTCCGTGGCCCTTGTTGTTGGACCTAATAAATAAAAATGGGAGGTCCAGAGAAGTCTTTGTCTTGGCCCTCAGAGGCTAGAGCTCAGCTAAAGAGTTTTGATCCTCCTGGAGCCCTAAAACCATACTGTTTGTCTCATTTTATTTAAACCTCTGCCATATACTCGTTTGGGAGATCGGGGATTTAGGTCAGGACCTGATAAGCCTGGGCTGGTCTTGAACTCATTGTGATCCTCCTGCCTCAACTTCCCAAATGCTGGGATTACCAGCATGTGCCCCCAGGCCTTGCTCTTCCCAGTACATTTTAATGCTTTGAGCTCTTCTATTTACTAAGAGAATAAGCAAGGTGTATAGTTTGATTATTTGATAGAGGTGACGATGAACCCAGCAGTTTAGCTGCAATGTATGGTACAGGTTCAGGCTTAGGAAACAATGCGCTGCTGGGGCACAGGCGCTGGGCTAGAGACCAGGCCGAGGCATCTATCGTGGACACTGAGGGCAGAGCTCGTGTAGCCGAGGGAGGTTACAGCACTTGCTCTGCTTCTCAAGTGTGGACACTGCAGTGTGAGGAACCTGGTCTCCAAGGGCCTTTCTGCTGCCTTGGGCCTAGGCTTCAGCAGCTAACCTTTACTCTAGTGAGGACTGCAGGGGATGTTGGTGACACCTGTGGGACCACTGCTTTAGTTACTTGCTGATTGTATCACCTTACAGACCCATGGAAGTGACCTGCTCACAGCACATGCACGCATCAGCCCCTCAGCTCTGTGGCTGCAGACAGCACCCAATCCATGATGAATATGCATGCATGCAGCTGGGCCCCACCTCTACGCTCATCTGGATGCCCTGCCCACTGACTCTTCCTGCACCCCTCTTTTGGACACACGGTCTGACTCTGTTGCCTAGGCTCCCCTCAAACTCCAGGATTCAAGAGAGTCTTCTGCCTCAGGCTCCCGACTAGCTGAGCTCCTTGGGTGGCATCTGCCCTGCTGGGAATATAGTCCATAAAGTCTGCTTGTTTTCTAAGCGGTTCTGAGCCTCAGCCTTCAGTACTGGCTGGACTTTTCCTGCTTCCTGGTATGTAATAACATTAGCATGACTCCATTGTTTTAGGATTGGGAAAACTCATATGGGGGCACAACAGAAAAATATGTAGATATACGTACTTGTGGGTACTGACATGCATAAATGCACCGGGTTTTGTTTTGTTTTTGAGAAAGGGTCTCAGTATGTATCCCAGGCTGACTCTGAACTCAGGGTAATCTTCCTGCCTCAGCCTTCTGAGAGCTGAGGTTACAGGTGTGTACCACCACACCCTGCTGAATGATAACTTTTTTGTTCGTACTGGGGACTGAACTCATGACCTTGTGCTTGCTAGGCAGGCACTTTGCTGTTGAGCTATATCCCTGGCCCCTGAATGATAACTTTGACCAATCATTATATTAAAGATCTCAAATGCTTTCCTGGATGGCAGGCAGACAGTTCTGTAGTTTTGAGATGCTCAGTCTGTCTGCCCTGTACACCTCAGTGCTCCTCTACTCTGGGCAGCTGCAGATACCGACCTGTGGGTTTTCTGAGCGATGCGGCAGCCTGCTCATCATGGCATCCAGCTCGTCCAGCTTCCTCAGGACAGCCTGAACATCTGCAGACAGTTCCTTGTACTCTGAAAACTGGTCCTGGAACACGGCTTTGTAGCGCTCTCGTTCATCATCTGTCTGAATCACAGGGTATTTTCTAAGGGAAAAGCATAAGCCTAAGTTTCACCAGAACCAGCTGAATGAAAATCACTTAGCTGATTCTTTAGGGCCCACATGCTACCTTCAGTTCACCTGTCACCCTGGCCACCAACACTGGGTCCCCTAGAAGATTTCAGAAACATTCACCTACAGACAGCAGGAGCACAAAAGGCCCAAGTATGACCCTCAACTGCTACCCCAGGGATTAAGATAGACACTCACGCCACGTAGTCGGGCATCACAATCGGCTTCGGGATGTGGCCTGGGGGAATCGTGTTTGTTCTCCATTGTTTGAAACAAACTTCTGGGTCTCTTGGTGGTCGGTCACTGGTGACCATTTCACACTGCACAGAGGGAGAAAAAGAAGACAGATATGTAAACAAGAGCAGGGGGAAAATACCTGCAGTTATTCCTAGGCAAGAGTAGAGGGGAGAGAGAGAACAGCGGAAGTAGTAACTAACATCTCACCTGAGAAGTGCACATTGCTCGCTTGGATTGACTGATGTGTGGTACTGGGGATTGAACCTGGGCCTGTAGTGTGCTCTAATAGGCAAGAGCTTTACCACTAAATGTCCAGCTTTTCTTTTTTTTTTTTTTTAATCGGTACCGGGGATCGAACTCACAACCGCCTGCTTGCAAGGCAGGTGCTTATGCCGCTGAGCTAAATCCCCAGCCCTGTGTCCAGCTCTTCTTCAGTTCTTTTTCTCCAAATTTTCAGATTGAGTTTCACTAAATTGTTTAAAGTAGCCTTCAACTTGCAATCCTCCTGCCTCAGCTTGCCAGTCAGCTGGATTACAGGTGAGCATCACCATGCATTGCAGAATTCCGTTTTATGCCACAAATGTGTACTGAGTGTTTCTGTAATAGCTAAAGGGAATATAATAGGTAAAACAGCCTCCAATCTCAACGCTGTAGAATGCAAAAAGTGGGTATGCCAAATGAGGGAGCTTTGTACTTAAGATTTACACCCCAACTAAGTATAAAAGTATTTTATTTTCTGAGACAGGGTCTCACTATGTAGCTCAGCCTGGTCTTGAACTTACTTTGTGGACCAGGCTGTCCTCGAAGTCGAAGTGATCCTCTGGCCTCAGGTTCCTGAGTGCTGGGATTACAGTCATGCGCTAAAAGTATTTTAAAGTGCAGTTCAAAATAAGAAATTTAGGGGCTGGGGATTTAGCTCAGCAGCATAAGGGCCTGCCTTGCAAGTGTGCGGTCCTGAGTTCGATCCCTGGTATCGATAAAAACGAAAAAGACAAAAAAAGAAAAAGAAAAGAAATTTAGAGGAAAAATGAAATATGGCTACTTAAGTGGAAAGAGAAAAAAAGAGAGGAATCCATTATAAGCAGCCACTAGGAAGAGGGCACAGGAAAGAGTTATGCTATTCTCATTATCTGAAAAGCAAACAAATCTACCCCTCCTGCCTCAGCCTCCCCGGCTAAGGTTACAGGTGTGGGCCACCATGCTCAGCTCATGTCTGCTTCCTGCAGTACTGGGAACCGAACCTGACCTCCTGTACACAAGGCAAGGTCTCTGGCACTGAGCACAGCCCCAGTCCTCGCTGCCCTGGTGGGTTTACATGAGTAACCCACTAAATGTCCACCACCCACTAAAGGTGTCCACCTTGTACTTCAGTGTAATTAGAGGTGCATGTCCTGCAGTCTCCATCACATTATGAGCAACTGGAGAAAGGTTCAGGGTGGAGAGGTCAGAGGAAAGCAGACCCCATCTGGGAGCAGCAACCCTGCTTTCCCTATTAACCCTGCGAGCCTTCAAGGGGATCCAGGATGGGGGAAACCAAAGGCCAGGAGGGAAGGGAAGTAAAAAGGATCAAGATGTGACAAGTGTGTGCTCAAATTACCCAAGATGAATGTAATTACTATGTGTTGCACCCTCCCCCAAAAAACAACCCCAAACCAAACAAGAAACAGGCAAACAAAATATAAAACAGGATTCTGAATCAGGCTCTTTATCTTCTCCATCTTGTAAGGCAGATTTTAGAGCACTTTGCCCCAGCTTCCCCACCACAGGCAGGCTCTGATGTTTGTTTAGGGTTAGCTCACTCTGTGAACCAGCAGCTCCTGACCGGAAGCATGTGGCCATAGGCTTGGACTGCCACAGCAGAGTGGGAGACCAGAGTAAGCTGGACAGAACCAGCTGGGGCAGAAAGGTGCCATGGGCCAAGCCCCAAGGTGGAATGGACACTGAGGAAGGGCATGCGGGGGATTCTGGGAGCACATCCGGGGTTATGCTCATCTTGCCAGGCCCTTGTTGCTTAGGCTCCATTTGTTCATCTCATGAATGTCAAGCATGAATCATGGTTTAAACATCAGGGGAAATTTTTGGGGCTTGAATAAATGCATTTCCGTTTCCTGGCATCTTTAACATCTAAATATCTGCAGTGGTATGTGTGGCCTAGGAAGCCGCTTGGGTGCTCACTGATCCTCTGTATCAGGTCAGTCTCAGTCGTCCTGGGCTTGGCCAGGGGTCACACTGAGCTCATATTTTTCAGACACCTTTTTTTTTTTTTTTTTAAGAGCATTTTAGTGCATTCTGCTGGCTCCAAATATGCTCTGATATGCCATTTTTTCAGCCCTTAGCCCGGCTAGGTTTGGTGATTGTCTAACCTTGATCTGTCCTCAACATCAATGCCCTTTGCAATCTCAAAGTTCCCATGCACAGAATACTATTGTGGACTCTGGTTTTTACAACTATTCCTGGCTGGGGGATTTACAAGTTCCTGGTCAGTTCCTCCGGATGGGATATACCCCCTAAAGCCTCCCTTACAGGGTACCTGAGGGGATCACAGTCTTCCACTGAGTCATACTCACTACATCTTAAACTAACCCTGAAGATAGCCCTCAGGATCAATGAGGGAAGCTGCACTTAAACCTCAAAGGGCTTTCTATTTATTATTATTAATAAATAATTTTATTATTTAACAATAAGTTTTATCCTGCCCTTTTTTTTTTTTGGCTTTTTTTCGTTTTTATCGGTACCAGGGATCGAACTCACGACTGCCTGCTTTCAAGGCAGGTGCTTATGCCGCTGAGCTAAATCCCCAGCCCCCTATCCTGCCTTTTTTTAAAAAAAATTTAGACTTTTGAGGCAGGGTCTCCCTGTGTAGGGAGGGGCCTTGAACTCACAAGGCTGTTCTCAAATTCACAGCAATCCTTCTTACAGATATGCACCACCACACTGGGTTTATAATGCCTAACATATGACACAGGTATTAATTTTTCAAAGTTTAGATTATTGAAAAAGTAATTTATACATATGGTATATAATTCAAAAAGTTAAAAAGGCAATGCCTGCCTGGTAATTGCAAGGTCCTGAGTTCAATTCCTGACTCAAAAAAAAAAAATGGTTGGAAGGGATACATAATGAAAAGTAATCTTCCTTGGGGCTGGGGATTTAGCTCAGCGGCATAAGCACCTGCCTTGCAAGCAGACAGTCGTGAGTTCGATCCCTGGTACTGATAAAAAGAGAAAAAGAAAAAAAAAATTGAAAAGTAATCTTCCCCTGTTACTGTTACTAGCTAGCCAGTTGCCCTCCTACATGGTAATAACTATGCATGATCAGTTTTGTACCAGGGATCGAACTCAAGACCTCACATTTGCCAAGCAGGCACTTAGTCCACTGAGCTAAATCCCCGGCCCTGCACTATCAGTTTTAAGGTATCTAATTTGACAGTTTAACAATATCTTCCTTATTTAACTTGCTCTAATTAGTAGTACTGTCATTAAATATAACTCTAATTGAAATGTATATCCTGACAGGAATAAATACTTTTTAAAAAATCAGTAAAATATGTGGAGTGTGGTGGCGCACACCTGTAATTCCAGTACTCAGGAAGCTGAGGTAGGAAGATTGCTTTGAGTTTGAGGCCAGCCTTGACTACATAGTGAGTTGAAGGCCAGCTTGAACTGCATAGCGAGACCCTGTCTCGAAACAAAAACAAAATAGAAATAAGCCTAATTAAAGCATATTAGGAAACAGATATAATAAAGCGAAGTATGGAATTCCTGGCATTTTGGAAGGTTGAGGCAAGGAGATCACAAGCTCCAGGTCAGCCTGAGTAGCTAGTAAGACCTTGATTCAAGGGGAGATACGGGAATACAAGAATTATTATGATGTGTTACGTGTATGTACCGATTCGCCGTGGTGAATGGAATCACTGCATACTGCAAATGTGTACTAATAAAACTAAGAATATTTTGAAAAGCTATAAAAGAAAAATACATTTCAAAAAAGAGCCTGAGGCTCTTGGAGTGTAATTCAATAGGAAAGCACTTGCCAAGCACAGGTGAGGCCCTAGTTCAATTCTTAGCACTGAAAAAAAAAAAAATGATGAAAATAAGCTATAAAAACCTGACCAAACAGAAGGCTGTGACTCTGTCCAGAATACACTGTGCACAGACTGGGGCTCTGCTCCACGCTGCCACATGGGACAGGAGCATTTCAGTATCCTGGGCCTTATGTCCCACAGGGCTTGGTGCAGACAGGCCACATCCCTTTCATTCTCTTCCTCTTCTCCTGGTGCTTCTGATCTTTTTTCAGAGCTGAGGATTGTACCCAGGGAGACATACGTGCTATGCAAATGTTCTACTGCTGAGCCACAAGCCTGTCCAAGTATCCTTTGATTTATGGACAACCAGAAATGTCCTTACAAAGTTATTAAGTTATTTCAACCACAAGTCAGATATCTCCATGTGTCAGAAATTTTTTTTTTTTTTTGTCTCTTTGAGATAAGGTCTCACTATGCAGTTCAGCCTGGCCTTGAGCTCACTTTGTAGACCAGGCCAGTCTCAAACTTGCAACAATCCTCCTGTCTCAGCCTCCCAAGTGCTGGGATTACAGGCGTGAGTCACCACGCCCAGCTGTGTCAGAAACTTTAATACACCCAATCCTTTAAAAGTTGTAACTGCTGGGCGTGGAGGTACATGCTTGTAATATTCCAGCAGCTGGAAAACTAGGCAAGAGCATTTCCTCATGTTCCAGACAAGCCTATGCTATATAGTGAGACTCTGTCTCAGGAAAACAAATGTTGAAAGGATTTCCTCTTTTATTTTATTGTTTTAAAGGTCTCACTATGTTGCCAGGTTGGTTCCTAACTTTCAATTGTCCTGCCTTAGCCTCCTGAATAGGGGGTACTATAAGCACACAGCCTTTTGCCCAGTTCACCTAAAGGTGGACGCTGGACACAAAATTACAGGCTTCTATTTTGTATGAGAAACCAAAAGTATAAGTAAGGACCAAAATGTATAATAATACTGTGAAGTAGGAAAAAAGTGTTCAAATGGGGAGGGGAATAAGAAAAGGGAGAGGGGGGAAAAGAAAGAAGAGAAAAGTCAAAAAAAAGTGAGAAAAGAAAAAATGGAAACAAAGCTTTTGTAAACGCGAAGGGCAGGAGGTGTTGAAGGGAGGGTAGGGGAATCGGAGAAAAAGAATCAAGTTACAGCACATACAGGTACAAATTATCTATGATGACTGTAATCATTAAGTATATCTAAAATGTACCAATAAAATCTGATTGAAGGGAAAAAAGAAACAACAACAACAACAAAACACCCCAAAGAATATTCACTTAACAAAAGACTTGGAATAAAAAGACTTGGACAAACTCATAGCTCAACAGAAAACTGAATAGGATATGAAGAGGCAGTTAAAAGGGATGGAAATATAAATGTAACATAAAAACAATGGAAAACCTCACTCTAGATTGAAAGAGAAATGCCTACCATAGTGTTGGGAGCCGCAGCCCCGAGCCCGGTCGCCTCACTTGGCGGACGTGAGGCCTGTAGTAAAGAGTAAAGCCTGAGATAGATTACCCCTCCCATCGAGCACGTTAGTTTCCTGTTTACCGCGTAAGCAACCCGCTCAACAATATAGTCTGCCTGGCAACTGATGATGTTAGCCAATCAGCTTGCCTTGCTTACTTTAACATGATTGGACACTGTATCCGTATATATACTGGTGCCACCCCTGGGGGGAAGTAGAAGCCCGGAAGGAGCCGCGGAGAGCGGACCGGTAGAGGCTTCGGAGCGAAGCCCGGAAGGAGCCGCGGAGAGCGGACCGGTAAAGGCTTCGGAGCGAAGCACGGAAGGAGCCGCGGGGAGCGGACCAGAGGAGGCTTCGGCTGGGAGCGATCCCAGGGCAGGCTGTACGGAGAAGGAAAATAAAAGAAAAGGTTGTCCACTGCCAGACTTTGTCGTGTGTCCTTCCTGCCGGCCAGGAGCGACATCGACACCATAGTTACATGGGCTGCCATTTTTCAGAGAGACTGAAAGATGTCAAACAAATGACTTCAGCCTAGAGGTGGGGGCTATGGTGCTGCCACATTGAAGCTGGTTAGGACCTCTAGCGGCAATCTGGCAATCTGAATAACAAGGCCTGCCTCTCTAATCCCCAGAATTTACATCTGAAGGGTATTTGTGACCCAGGGGAATGAGGCTGTCTGAGTAGATACTCAACTCACTGCAGCCAACCAGTCTTCTTCCCAGGCTGGAAATGAATGCAGGGTCTTCCATAGGCTCAGGGCTTTCAAGGAGAGCTTTCACTGAGAACAAACAGCTGGCTGCGGCATGCTTGCTGTAGATTTGCCACACTGCCCCGTGTGCTCATTTACAGTTAAATTATGGCCTATCCATGCAGCGCAATTCTGTGTTGTTATAGAAAAAGAATGCCACCAGGTCATTACAGAGTGAAGGTGCCAAGTGCTGTGGCCCACACTCAAGAGGCTGAGGCAGGAAGATGGTGAATCTGAGCTCCACAGTGAGTTCAAGGCCACTTTGGATTGCATAGTGAGACTCCATCTCAAAAAAAGATAAAAATAAAAAAAAATTTTAAACCGGCAAACTTGGTGGCCCACACCACTATTTCTGAGTACTTTGGGAGGCTAAGGCAGGACAGCAAGTTTGAGTCCCATCTAGGCAACTTTATGAGACCTTGCCTCAAAATAAAAATAAAAAAGGCCTGGGATGCAACTCAGAATGAAGGTTCAAGCCCAGTACCCACTGCCCCACACATAAAGGTGTAGCATACATCAGTAGTAACATGTCAAGCGTAAAAAGCAGAACTCAAAATTGTCTATAATAGCCAGGCATGGTGGCGTATTCCTGTAATCCCAGCACTCGGGAGGCTGAGGGAGGTGGATTGTTGTTGCAAGTTCAAGACTAGCCTGAACCAAACGGCAAGACCCTATCTCAAAAAGACAAAAAGAAAAAAAAAAAAAAAAGACAAAGTTGTCTATGATAAGCATGAAGATGAGAGACAAAGATGAAAATAGATTAGTAGGATTGTAATTACAGCACTTCACTGATTTCTCACCCAATACGTGAGGTAGAAATGATTATCATTCTGATTTTACAGATGAAGAAACAGAAGCATGAGAAGTTAGATCATCAGTCACACAGTCAGTCAATCAGGAACAAGAATTCCCCAACCCTACGAAATCGTACCACTGAATGGAAACTGAGGACAGAAAATAGCGAGGAATGTTAGAGAAATGAAGAAAATGTGGGAGACACACTTGCATTGAAAACATTTACAATTAAAATTAACAGTTGAGGCAAGTTATAGATAAGACTGTTTAATTTGATTCTTTTAGTATTAGAAAAAGCTGAAATGTCTTCATATGACCTCAAGGAGGTAGTCACACTTTGACAAATGGATGATTTTACTATGTAGACAAGCAGAGATAGGAGAAAAGTACTGAATGAGCCTAGAGACAAAGCATAAAAAGTGATGTAAACTTCATTCTTACCGTTCTCCTTTTTGACGGCAACGATGACTCGTAGATCTAGGATGGAAAGAGCGAAAATGATTTTTGGTGGTGTGGGCTACTTTGTGAACGTTCCCACGTGTCTGTACCTCCAGCCAAACCCCAGTTCCCATCGGCTGCTTCTCAGGGAAAGAGGCTGCCCCTCCTCTCCTGCTGTGGTCTCTAGGCCCAGAGCCCAGGGGCAGTTTACTGGGGTTCTCTGATCATCAGGAACAGAGAGGACCTGGAGAAGGGGGTTCTGCAGATGGGTAGGTAAGGCTAGAATTATCTACAGGTTGTATTTATCCTGGTTCTCATGCCTTGGATGACCAGAGTTGAAACAGTTATTCTATAAAATTCATAGAAAAAAGTCAAAGGCCGATGCTGGATGTGGTAGGGCACACCTGTTATCCCAGCACTTGAGAGGCTGAGGCAGGAGGATCACTGCAAGTTTGAGGCCAGGATGGGCTTTAAGGACAGGCTGACCTGCATAGCGAGACACTCTCCAACAAGCAAACATAAGTCAAAGGCCATTATATCGTCTAACCTTCAAGAAACAAACTGAAAGAAACAACATATATGTGTATATACATATGTATATATGTATAAAAAGTTAAGATAGTTATACTACTGATTTCTGAGTTCACTGAAGATAAAGATTTGCACTGGTGTTGTTTGGACAATTTAATGTAGATATCTTGTGCTCTGGGTGAATGATTTGGGGACAATGCACAATGTATGTAACACTGTTGTCTCCCTGACTGACACGTTTTGAAATTTTTAGTTTTTCTTTTTTTCCTCGAAATAAAATAGATTTGGGAAAAAAAGAAGCTATAGCAACATACATATAGTAACAATCTTCAGCAACGGGTAACTCATGTCTAACTAAGGCTAACTAAGGCATTCTGAAAAGGCTAGTAGAAATGAGTATTTTGTTGGGGTCAGGGATATAGCTCAGTGGCACAGCACCTGCCTGGCAAATGCAAGGTCCTGAGTTTGATTCTCCATAACCTCACCCCATAAAAAAACAAACAAGTTTTTGTTAGGAAGGAAATAATAAAGAATCGTTGTTAACAATTATGATATTAACAGAATTTTGAATGCTAAGACTTAATAACTAAACTTGAAAAGAAAAAACTAAACTTGCATGGTGGTGTATATCTGGAATCCTAGCACTTGTGGGGGCTGAGGTAGGAAGATGGCAAATTCAAGGCCAGCCTGGGATACAGTGAGTTCAATACCACTACTGTTGCACTACACAGCAAACCCTATCCAAAAACAATAAAAAAAATACAACATCCAAAAAACTTATTAAACTGGGGTAAAATTATAAGGAAGAGTATGAGCCTCAGTATCAAGATTTAATACTGATTAGATTTATAATTCTTAGCTAGTAATTGTGGCTCATGCCTGCCTATCAGAGCCCTTGGAAAGCTGAGGCAGGATGACTGCAAATTTGAGCCCATGCTGAGCAATTTATCAACTCAGTGAGAATGACTAAAACAGAAAATAAAAAGGGTAGGGGCTGTAGCTCAATGCAAAAGCCATAGGTTCAATCCCCAGTAACACAAAGATAGTGCTTTCATCCTGCAATTTAAAAATTTTTATGGGCTTTTAAATAAATTTTACCTTATTATTAGTATTGTTCTCAAATTTAAGTTATTTTGAAGGATGGGGAGGAAGATGCTGGGGATGGAACCCAGGGCCTCACACACGCGAGACAAGCATTGCACCTCTGAGCTACATCCCTAGCTCTTCAAAAAAAATTAGAGCTAAGCCATCCCACCACGCTCAAGCTGACTCTAACGAAACACTTTTCTTCACTGAAACTCCAGTGTGTTTCTCTTTAGCATCAGCGGGCCCTAACAACGCGGCCAACAGACGATCCGACGTCCACTTGCAGTAACAAGCAGCAAGTCGGATACTACCACACGCGCCCGAGGCGCCGAGGGTGAGGCTGCGGGCAGAGAGCGCTGCGGCCCACGCACCTCCTGCCGCTCCGCGTCCTCGCGCTGCTTGCGCGCCGCCTCGTGCCGCCACAGCTTCAGGCAGGCGAGTGCGCTGATGAGGTACACCGCCATGGTGACGAACAGGAAGATCACGGCCGCCACCTGGCCGCTCTCCAGGCGGCAGAAGCCCGCGTTCAAGGGCGTGTTGAAGATAGGGTAGTAGCAGAGCCCCCCGCGGTTGCTGTCGTTCACATAGACGATGGCCGCGGCCATGTAGAGGATGAACAGGGCCACGTTGATGCCGAACTCGGTGAGGGGCCACCAGTCCGAGTCCAGCAGGATGGTCCGGTAGTACAGGGACATGCCGAGCACCAGCACGATGAGGGTGACGATCCAGGTCAAGCCGGCCGCCACCAGCACGAAGGCGGTCTTGGGGCCGGTGTAGTAGGAGCCTCTGTAGGCGCTGCCCAGGCCCAGCCCGCTGTAGGGCTGCGAGTATCCGAACAGGTTGTACCACTCGCTGTCCTTGTGCACGTAGGCGGTGACGCAGGCGAAGACCACGGCGCCCAGCAGCAGCTGCACCACGCCCAGCAGCCGCAGCAGGCCGGCCCAGGACTTCATGTAGGAGTAGCGCAGGTGGTAGTCCGCCACCTGCTCGCTGTAGGTCTGCGCCGCCGTGGCCGAGCCGCGCTCCAGGGACGCCCAGGGCTCGCGGGCCGACGCCGGGCGGCGGCTGGACGGCGCCGGGGAGGCCGGGGGCGAGCACTCCACGCCGGGGGAGATGTAGCCCACGCCCGGGCCTGGCGCCGCTTGCTTCCGCCGGAAGAAGTTCTTCCAGGAGTCGGGGACGAAGCGGCGCACCGGCTTGAGATCCGGGGCCAGGGTGGACGTGGACTCAGGCTCCGGCTCCCCGAAGCGAGAGGCCGGGCCGAAAGGCGGCTGTGCTGGGAGAGGGGGTGGTGGCAGAGGATCGGCGCTAACAGCCAGCTCGGGCTCGCTGTCCTGAAAACTCTCGGAGGATTCCACGAAGCTACTGGGGCTGGGCAGGTTCCTTGGGACCCCATTGTCCCGATTCTTAGATCCTCCATCATTGGACGACATTTGTGATTTTCACACGTGTAGCCAAGATGAAAGTTATCACTTATTCTTCTTGTTTTGGGCTGTCACTTGTCTTTTCAGTGACACTGATTTTATTCAATTAGCAGCAAAAATGTATTCAGGAGATCAATGTGACCTTAGTTATTAGGCTATACAAAAATAATACAATAAATGTATGTGGCAAGGGCGTGTAATCCAAGCATCTGAGGAGACTGAGGCAGAAGGATTGCAGAAACCCTGGGACTTAGTGTCTCAAAGTAAAAATTTTAAAATGTTGCTTCATTTGACGGCCCTAGGTTCAATCTTCAGCACTGCAATAAACAAAGAAATAAAATGTAACAATTAAATTACTCAGGAACATAATTATTATTTTATGCCATTTAAAGTGCAATACAAAATTTAAACATTAGCACTTAGTTGTACACACTGGCATATTTGGCTGAGGATGTGAAGCAGCACACACCTGCTGTCCTAGCTACTCAAGAGCCTGAGTGCAAGACAGTGAGACCCTGTCTCACAAGTAAAAGGGATGGAAATTAAACAATACCCCCCTGAACAATCAACAGTCACAGAAATCAAGGAAGAAATCAGACAGCTCACAGAATCAAAATAATGTTGGCACAATCACCCGGAACCTATGGGACACGATGAAAGCAGTGCTAAGAGGGAAGTTTACAGCTGAGATCAGAATGAGTCCAAATGAATAACCTGATGATGTATTACGAAGTCCTAAAAAACAAGAACAATCCAAATCTAAAGCTAGTACAAGGAAGGAAGTTATGAGGTTGGTGATATATAGCTCAGTGGCACAAGGCCTGTCTGGCAGGCATGAGGTCCTCAGTTTGATTCCTGATACAAAAAAAAAAAAAAAAGGAAATTATAAAAATCAGAACAGAAATTAATGAAAATAAAGGCTAATAAAGCAATACAAAAACTAGAAAAAGTACAAAATCAATGAATCAAAAAACTGGTTCCTTTTTTTCTTTTGTACCAGGGATCAAACATGACTTCCAGCTTGCTAGGCAGGCACTTATTCTACAGAGCTAAATCCCCAGCCCCAAGAACTGCTTCTTTGAAATAATAAACAAAATAGCTGGGCATGGTGGCAAGTGCCTGTAATCTTAACAAGTCACTCTGGAGGATCACTATGAATTCAAGGCCAGTTTGAAGGACATTAGTGAGACCCTGTCTTAAAAAATAATAAAATAGGGGCTGGGGATTTAGCTCAGTGGCATAAGCGCCTGCCTTGCAAGCAGGCAGTTGTGAGTTCAATCCCTGGTACCGATAAAAAGGAAAAAGACAAAAAATAATAATAATAAAATAAACAAAATAGAAGACAAAGCCCTAGCCTGATGATAGTAGAACTTTCAAGAATATTAACAGCCCACTGCAGTGTGTGTGGCATAGATTTGCCACCAATGTCCTAGTCCATCTCACACACAAAAAGAGACTCAAATCAAAGCAATTAGAAATAAATGACAACAAACTGTCAAAATTCAGAAGATTATTAGTAACTATACTTTGAGAACCTGTATGCTAAAGAAAACCTGACAGTTCAGAAAAAATGGACAGATTCCTAAATGCATATGAACTACCAAAGCTGAACCAACACATCAAAACCCTGGCTAATCCAGTCTCAGGCAATGAAACAGAAGAATTAAAAAAACCCTACAAACTAGGAAGAGCCCATCACCTGACTGGATTTATAGCTGAGTTCTACAAAAACTTTAGAGAACTAACATCAACATTATTCAAACCTTTTAATGAAATTAAAAGGGAAGCAGTTCTAAAGTCAATTCCTAGAAACTAGCATTACCCTGATTCCAAAAATCAGAAAAGGATCCCATTAAAAAAGAGACCTGGGGGCTGGGGATTTAGCTCAGCGGCATAAGTGCCTGCCTTGCAAACGCACAGTTGTGAGTTCGATCCCTGGTATCGATAAAAAAAAAAAAAGAGACCTATAGGCCATTCTCTTTAATGAACATAGATGCAAAAATTGTCATTTAGATACTAGTAAATAGAATGCAGCAAATCATCAAAAATATCACACATTATTACCAAATAGGATTCATCCCAGGATACAGAGATGATTTGACACAGATAAATAAATAAATGTAATATATCACATAAACAGAAGCAGGAACAAAAATCACAGGATCGGCTCAACAGATGCACAAAATTTGACAAAATCCAGCATCCATTCATGATAAAAATCTAGAAGCAAATAGATATAAAATGACCCAATCTCAATCTGGTAAAAGTCAATTATGAAAAACCAGTGGTCAACATAATATTAAAATGGAGAAAAGCTGAAAGCTTTCCCTCTAAAATCAGGAAAAAGGCAAGGATGTCTGCTATCACCATTCCTGTTCAAGGTAGATTTTTTTTTTGTTTTTAGAACTGAGAATTGAACTCAGGACCTTGCATTTGCCAGGCAGGCGCCATGCTGCTAAGCTATACCCTGGCCCTCAATATAGTTCTTAAAACATTAGCTAGTACAATCAAGGCAAGAGAAATAAAAGGGATAAGTATAGGGAAGGAAGAAATCAAATTAGCATTATTTGTAGATGGTGTGATCTACATAGACAACCCAAAAAATCCTACCAAAATACTCCTAGATTAACCAAATTCAGTAGTATAACAGGATAAAAAATAAACACAAAAATCAAGTGTTCCTCTACACCAATAATAAACTCACTAAGAAATAAATGAAGTGAATAATACCTCTCAAGTATCATCAAGAAACATGAAATATCTAGGAATTACAGTAACTTAAGCAACTCTACAACAAAAACCACAATACACTCAACAAAGAAGATGGAAGAGGACATCGGAAAATGGAATGATGTCCTCTGTTCCTAGGCAGAACCAATATTGTCAAAATTGCCATACTTCTAAAACTGATATATAGAGTTAATGTAATCTCAATCTAAATACCAACAGATTCCTCACAAAACTAGAGAAAATAAATTTAAAATTCATATGAAATCAGAAGACACTCAGAATAGTAAAAGCAATCCTGGGCAACAAGAGCAAAGCCAGAGGCATCCCAATCCCAGACTTCAAATGATACTACAAGGCTGCAGTGATAAAACAGCATGGTACTGGCACAAACACCTGGCATGTGGATCAATGGGAGAGAACAGAGGAGGCAGAAACAACCCTCAGGCACTTTAAGCTATCTGATCTTGGACAAAGGGACCAAAACATACCTTAAAGCACAGACAGCCTCTTAATAGTGCTAGGAAAACTGGCTATCTGCATGCATAAGATTGAACCTAGACCTAGATCATGTATTAAACTAAAATCAACCTGGATCAAAGATCTAAATGATAAAACAGAAACAATCTGCTAGAAAATAAAATAGATAAATCTTATAACTACATGAAAAAATGCTCAATATCTCTGGTCATTAGAGAAATGCAAATTAAAACAAAAGCGATTCCATCTCACTCCAGAAAGAATGGCTATCATCAAGAAATCGTAACAACAAATGCTGACATGCTGGCCAGAGCAGGAGCCATCACAAGTGGGAATGCAAACTAGTACAATTATTATAGAAATCGGTACGGAGATTTTCAAAGAGTTAAAACTAGAAATCCCATTCCACCTACCCATTCCCCTCCACACTCTCTTTCTGAAGGAGTTAAAGACATCATATTATAGTGATACTTGCATATGTATGTTTATAGTTGTACAATTCCCAATAGCTAAATCTTAAAAATGGTCTAGGACCATCAACAGAGGAATGAATTAAAAAATGTATTTACACACAATGTAGTCCTACTCTGCCATAAAAAAGGAATAAACTTGAATCACTTGTAGGAAAACGGGTGGACTTTGATTTTTTAAATTTTATTTATTTCTTTTTCTTTTCTTTCTTTTTTTTTTTTTTTTTTTGTCTTTTTCCTTTTTATCAGTACTGGGGATCGAACTCACGGCTGCCTGCTTGCAAGGCAGGCACTTATGCCGCTGAGCTAAATCCTCAGCCCCATATTTATTTGTCTTTTTGAGACAGAATGCTATGCATTCAGGCTGGCCTTGAGCTCACGTTGTAGCCCAGGCTGATCTTGAACTTGCAACGATCCTCCTGCCTCAGCCTCCCGAGTGCTAGGATTACAGGCTTGTACCACCATGTCTGGCTTAATAGATGGACTTTGGTACTATAAATTTCAGCGAAATAAATCAGACACACAAGCATAAATATCGCAATGTTTCTTTATGAGCATCACAAAATATAAAGAGCAAAATAAAAGATAAATAATAGAAAAAAAAGATGGAAGGAGGCAGTATGGGTAAGGAAAAAGCTACAGCCAGGATGAAAGGAATAAGGTTAAGAAAAAGAATTAAAATGTGTCATGTGCCAGACTAGTATCACACAGTTGTAATCCCAGCACCTGGGAGGCTGAGGCAGGAGGATTGCTGTGATATTTTAAGTCCAAATACCCCTGAGCCCTAGTGTGGTGAGTCAGCACACACTTGGTGCTGTTACCTACAGCACTGTTACAGCGCTGTGACACACTGACACATGCTTTGGGAAAGCAATCTGTCAAAACACAGCACTGCAAGCTCCTTTCTTCATGACCGTCGGGTTACAGGGCTGGCTTCTTCCTTTCTCAAACAGTAACATTAGATACTTGATTTTAAAAACTGAATTCTCACAGGTAAAAACTGCTGAATAGCAGTAGCAATGACCAAGAATGGCATTCATTCCAGCAGGATATTCTAAAGAGGATGCCTGCCACCACTGAGAAACCAACTTATCTCAGGAGGAATTCAACCACTGAAAAAGTACCAACAAAGAACTTTTACTAAACCTGCTAATTTCTTTCACTGAAGTCGTTGATCTTAACACATATACAAGAAAAACAAACAAAACCCCAAAACCCTCTGCTAATATAACTACCAGGCTTAAGGTACTACTAACATGGTCTTCACATTGCTTATAACTGCAGGGTGTAGTGGTGCAGGTCTCTAACCCCAACACTCAGGAGACTGATGCGGAAGGATCTCGTGAGTTTGAGGGCAATCTGAACTACATGAGATACTGACACTGTGTGAACACACACACACACACACACACACACACACACACACAGTAATAGTAACTGTTGTTAATAACAACAACAAAGCAATTCAGATGATGTAGAGGAGGCAGTCTATCCACAAAGGGTACACACTATTGCCAGTCCTGAACCCATCAGGAAGTGGGGCGGAGAGTAAGTCAAGAAGGAATTCCCAGGTCTTTAGAGGTGCATTCTCATTTTAGGGGAGGGATCAGCCGTGACAGACCGAGCGACAGACCAAGCACTGGGCCCATCAAGGGGGAACCTCTTTAAAGGACAGCAAGGTGTTGTTCTTTTTGGTCCTTGTCTTTTGTCTCTTTGTTGTCTACAAAAGAATTGTATCTGGCTGCGGAAGGAAGATCACAAGTTCAAGCCTAGCCGTAGCAATTTAGTGAAATCCTGTTTCTAACTGGCTGAGGTGTAGCTCAATGGGAAGATCCTGGGTTCAACTCACGTACAGTATAACTCCCCCCCCCCCAAAGTTCAGATTCAAGAAATACAGAACCCGAATATAGCGTTTGGTAACTCAACGCCAAAAACACAAGTCACTTTAGCAGTGCTCGGCACCTCTCAGGACCTATCATACACCACAGTATGTGCGTGTCCTGCTCGCCCCGCTGCTTAAGGAACTCCAGGAAGGTACGATTTACCATAACGGATTAAACCCTTCACCCACTTAGACCGCTTTTCAGTGTAAATAAACGTAAACACTGTAACCTGAAGAACCGTAGAGGAGAAACAGGCGACTTCAGAAGGGAACGTCTGCGCGGCACGCGTCGCTCCCGGTCTCTGGACGCGCGGGCGTGGAGCCTGGACGCCGGCGGCGGGGGCTTCGTGCGTCCGGGCCGGGCGGGGAGCTGTGCCCACGTCGGACGGTCTCGAGCCCTGCCGGTCCGGGGGCGCTCGCACAGTCCAGGAACAGTGGGGTCCCTCACGGTCCCACTCCGCCACCCGTGGCGGTGGCCGGAACTCCGCGCGGCCGGCGGGGCGGCGGCCACCTGAGCCCGGAAGAACTGCTCGGCCGCACCTGGGAGCCCGCCCGCCGGCTCAGCCCGGCCCGGCCCTGCCCGGCCCATACGGGGCTGCTATACCCACCCACTCACCTGAGCCGCCGAGTGCTTCACACCCTGCACCGAAACCCGGGTCAACCCTAGTCGGGGTCCCGGGACCCAGCTGGCTCCGCCCACCCCGCCCCTCCCCGCGCCCGGCCCCGCCCTGCCCTGCCAGGCTGCACGGAAGAGTAGCGCCTGGGGCTCCAGTCACAGGCGATGCCCCTGTGGACCCCAACAAAGGCCTGCTTTTGTTTTGGTTTTCAAAGACGTCTTATTTTGTAGTTCAGACTGGCCCTGAACTCATTATGTAGTCCAAGGATGGTCTTGAATTAGCAGCTGTCTCCTGCCTCAGCCTTCCAGAGTGCAGGAATTACAGGCATGCACCACCACACCCATCTTCCCAGCCTTTCGAAACGCTTGGAAACGACAGTACTAAGTCTGAGACACGGTTGACAGTGCAGGATAGGTAGCATTAAAAAGACAGCACAGAGTGAAATCCCACATTTTAATCTTGGCATAAATTATTATCGCATACTTTCCTTTTTTAAATTTGGAGACAAGGTCTTGTTATGTAGCTCAGTGTGGCCTCGAACTCACAGTGACCCCCCTGTCTCAGCCTCCTGAGTACTGGGGTGACAGACACGCACCATTACACCTGATGAGTACATTTTTTCCAAGAGTAAAATACTGCACTGTACATCATATAAAAAGAAACATCTGAGAGGACTGAGACAAACTGTAAATAAGGCACAAAGTTTATTTACACTCATTTATAACACTCTGTATCACTTTTGTATTCCAGGTCCTTCCTTCACATTTTCTGATGTTTAGTATAAACACAACAACTCTCCCTAGCTCAGTCGCAGGCCTAAATAAATACTAGAGAAAGAACTCAGTGTGCGTGGAGGTCTGATCTCTCCAAGACAGCAGGAGAGCCAGGTCCTCTTGATGAACCAGGAGAGGAGGAACAACCGCTTGTAATTCACTGAACAGGAACGGTTCAAATACCACCAAAGAAAACTCCAAGGAATCTGGCAGTGCAGTCAGCCCAGAAGGGGCTCCTATGTTGCGTCACTGTCATACTCTTCTATGATCACGTCGCTGTCATCCTCCACATCTAGCTGCCAGGTGAAAGGCTGGGGCTGGCTGGCTAGGAGCTCACTCCCACTGCTCTGACTCTGGGGTGAGGACCCTGTTTCCAGCCAGAGAGCCAGGGTTGGCTCCTCTTGTGCATCCCCAGGCCTGCTCTTGTCTCCGATGTCAGGGTCCATTGGTGCCACCTCCCTGTCATCCAGGGCCTCTGTCTTCCACCTGTGAGATTCACAAGGCAGACCTCAGTTATGATCAAAGCAGGCGATTCCATCAGTGTCAGGAGTCAGGAACGGCAGCCCACGTCTGGAATCCCAGCACTCTGTGAGGCAGAGGCTGAAGGATCCAAGCTTGGACCCTGGCTGGTCAACCTGTTAACTCAGCAATTTGGCAAGACCGCATCCCACAATAAAAAGAGGCTGGAGATACATTTTAATGCAAAAGCCCTAAGTTTACTCCCCATGTGGAGCATGATTCTAGTCTGGTCTTTCATTTGAAATAGAAAAATACGCAGAACTCCAGAAAAATCTGACAAAATATGTGTCATTATAATTGTTCAATCTAAGTAGAACTATTGGATGTGGTGGCACATACCTCCTAGGACTTGGGAGACTGAAGTAGGAGGATCATTGTGAGTTTAAGACCAGTCTGAGCTACAAATTGAGCTCCAGGTCAGCCTGAACTGCACAGTGAGACCCTGTCTCAAAAACAAAACAAAACAAAAACAAAAAACCAACCACCCCTTAAACTCCCCTCCCAAAGTAGAAATGAAAATACAGTAATGAACTTTTATTGTCACCTTCTAAACTACTAAAGGTACTTTTTGTTTTTTTGAGACAGAGTCTCACTATGTAGTTCAGGCGGGCTTTGAACTTGCTATATAGCTGGCTCAGCCTCCTGAGTATTAGGATTACAAGTGTGTACCACCACACCTGGCAAAAGACTTTTAAAAGTGATAAAACCTAGCTATGGCAAGAATTAACAGAAAAAACTGATACTGGTACAGTATATGTGGCTATAAAATTGCATATATTCTTGCAACCATTCTGGCATACAGAACAAAAGCCTCAAAAAGGAATAGTCATGTGGCCCTTTCGCTTCTAGTTCATTTTCTCTGCTTATTTCTTATGGAGGATTGTTTATTTATAAGGTTATGATAATAGAAGCTGATGAAGCTAAATGTACAAAAATAAGGCATGGATTGAATTACAAAAATTATGCAGTTTTTAAGATTGTGAACAGTATTAGCATAAATCAAAGACCAGGTTAAACATGACCAATATAAAGATAACAGCACTAGTCACACAGTACATCAACACTGATGAATCTTGCTACCCAAGTCAGATCAAGTAGTTGATCTAAATACAAGATTCCCAATCACTCTTTTCCTTCCATCTTTTTTTTTTTTTTTTTTAAATAAGATGATTTATTTGACAGTGGGGAAATGGGAAAGAGAGAGGTGACAGCCACTCTAGATGTGCAGGCAGCATTCAAAAATGAACACTCTGTTTCCTTACATTTTAGGAACGAAAAGTCAATAGAAACTACTTATCCTCCTTCTATTTTGACATCATAATCTTGGAGTGGAAAGAAGCCAGCAGAGACTTGGTCCTGCTTTGATTCAAAGGGATATGAGGCGAAAAGCAATGTTTATGAAAGGCTGAGGCTCAAGCACACTGTGGAGGGAAGACACCTTGGGTTCCTCGCTGTCCTTGAGAAGGTACAATACGTATCACTGACCATTACTTTTGTCCTTATAACCAGTAACCAACTCCTTTGGAAAGTTTAAAAAAATGCTTGAGCAATTAATTTCAAACTAATAAATCAAACTCCAACAAATATTATCAGACAAGGTCGAGTATGCTTTGTATAAATCACTGGCATTAGCAGAGGCTACTTTCTAATGACAGGGTTTTGCTATGTAGTCTGGCCTTTAACTCACTATGTAACCAAGGGTATCTCCCTGCCTCAGCTTCCCGAGTGCTGGGATTACAGGTGTGTGCCACTATGCCTGGCAGTGGCACAGTTTTTGAGGCAGTTTCTAGTCACTACAGGTCTTCAGCCATAGCCTAAGACCTATTGGCAGGGAGGCTGAAAAGATGTTTCTAACTTAGCAAGATTCCTTGAACTAGACACTTTTGAAAGATTCTTCAGCGTTTTGATTCTGTATTTTCATTTAGTCTGACAGATTCCATTGGGAGGTGAATTCATACTTCTACATTTAATAAAAGACTCACAATGTAATTGCCTGATTTTGGATCCATGGGTACAATATATATTTGTGATCCACAGATAACATTTTCTTTCTTTCTTTTTTTTTGGTGATACTGGTAATCAAACTCAGGATCTCATGCTTGCCATGCTAAGGTGCTGAGCTATATCTCTAGCCCCAGATAACATTTCTTGATCACATTTTGAATATACTGAGTGGATTTAGTAGACATTTCAGTAACTGTGATCCTCAAATTAAAATGATAGCTTACCTTCCAAAGTGTCGTTTCAGAGGCAGTCTTCCAATATCTTGGATAAAAGAAATCTGAGCTAAAAACATAATTTTTGAAAAGTTTTTAATACCATTATTCTTTTACTTTATTCTTTTTTTGGTGCTGGCAGCACTGAGGCTTGAACCCAAGAGCACTCTACCACACAGCTACATTCTGAGCCCTTTTTAGCTTTTATTCTGAGGCAAGGTCTCATTACATACATTGCGCAGTCTGGCCTCAGGCGCATTCGTTCATTCATTTCTTGGTACTGGAGATTAAACCCAGGGTCTTTGCACTTAAGTATATTGTAGTCCTTTCTTCGTTCTTTTGTGATAGAGTCTTGCTAAACTAACCACGCTGGGCTCAAACTTTGAGCCTCCTACCTTAGTCTCCCAGAGTGCTCAGATTACAGACATGTGTCACCGTGCCTGGATATTGTCTTTGAGACAGGGTCTTGCTATAGCAAGTCCAAGCCAGTTCCAAACTCACTATGTAGCCCAGGCTGGCCTTGAATTTGGTAATCCTCTTGTCTTCATCTCCCAAGTGCTGGGATTACACATGTGTGCCACCATGCTTAGTTTCTTTTATTTTTTAAGTGATAAGTAAAATTTACATGTTTTTATTGTTTATAACAGGATATGCTTATATATGTATCCACTGTTTGTGAAATCAAGCTATCTGAAATATGTACTATCTCAAAGACCTATTTTTTTGGTATGAACACTTAAAAAGCTATTTTTAGCAATCTTCAAATATACATTAACTGTTTTCTTTTCTTCCCTTTTTGTTTTTGTTTTGCAGCACGAGATGTGATCTTAGGCCTTCCCAATGAGCTACACTCCCAGCCCTTTTTATTTTGAGACAGGATCTTAACTAAACTGCTAAAATGCTCAGGCTGGGCTTGAATTTGCAAACCTCCTGCTTCAACTTCAAGAGTGCTAGGATTATAGGCCTGCACAAACATGCCTGACTACATTCTACTTTTTTAAAAAATTTTTTCCTTGCAAGCAGGCAGTCGTGAGTTCGATCCCCGGTACCGATAAAAAGGAAAAAGACAAAAGAAAAAAAAATTTATTTTTTCAGACAAAATATCATTATGTACTTTAGGTTGGGCTTGAACTCACTATGTAGCCCACGCTAGCCAGGAACTTGTTGCAATCCTCCTTACTTAACCTCCTAAATGCTGGGATTACAAACATGCGCCACCACACCCAGTTAGACAGAAATTTTTAAACCTTTTAGCCTCAAGCTTTTTTCTGTTTTGGCAGTGCTGAGGATAGAATCCAGGGCCTAGTGGATGCTAGGCATTCTTCTACCACTGGGCCACACCCCAACTATATGTTATCTTAAAAGTATATAATTGGAACATTATGAAGGCTCTTAAATCCACTATACAACATAATTGGGAGTTTTTAAAAAAGCTCTTCAATATGTAAAGCTTAGAGATATGATCCTTAGAACTTGATTTTTTCTCCCTGTGGTAGGGACTGAGATTAAGCAAGTACTCTAGCGCTGAATTAAATGCCCAACCCTCATAATATTTAATAAACAGATAAATTGATTCCAATGTACATAATCTAATCCAGTATTTAAATGCACAACAACCATCAGGAGAATATTCTTACAATGCAGTTATCTGATAGAAGGATATCAGAGTCTGCCTTTCCCCCAGTAGGAGATGCTGCCAGCCTCACCTAGGAGACTCCTGCTCAGGAAACTGACCTCGGGTCCGACCCATAGCAGGACTCAGTTGCATTGCAGTTTTTTTTTTTTTGTCTTTTTCCTTTTTATCGATACCGAGGATTGAACCCATGACTGCCTGCTTGCAAGACAGGCACTTATGCTGCTGAGCTAAATCCCCAGCCCCCTGCATTACAGTTTTATGGCCAGGTAAAAAAGAATAGTGTCAGAGAAACTGAGCAAGTAAGTACACTCATGAAAATGAAGAAGTGGTTATTATCCAGAAAAAGAGAGATAGGCCCAGAGATACAGCTCAGTGGTAAAGAGTACAGTACAGGCCCTGGGTTCTACCTCTGGCATAGGGGGAACAAAAAAGGCACAAATACAAAAAGAAAAATGGTTTGAATAAACTCTGTGGAGCCTGACAGTCATTGTACTGGCATGAATGCATGGTTTTTGTTGTTTTATTTCTGTCTTTGAGATAGTCACACTATGTAGCCCAGGATGGCCTCCAACTTGTAATCCTCCTGCTTCAGCTTCCTAAGTGCTAGTATCACAGACTTGAAAAATCACAGGCCTTGTGAGACACCGCTGCTGAGACCCAATAGGCTAGCCCAACTCAGGTCCCAGCGCCTGGAGGTGCACCCTAGCGGTGAAGCCTTCGGTAAGTTGACCTGGAGGGGCGGACCCAGCAGGTGCTGCCCAGGTCTGTGTCTTCCTGGTGCCTCTGCGGTGGGCAGGAACACCTAGCTGGTGCAATTCAAACAGACTGTGGCCGACAGGGAAGGAAGCTGGGCCTCCTATATACGCTTAAATGTAAGGAACAAAGAACATGGGAAGAGGGAGCAACAAGAAAAGGTCCTCGGCCCCCAATCCTGAGAAACACGCAATAGCAGACACGGCACCAATAGACATGAAGCGCTATCTTCAGAGCCTCATAGACGAGTTCAGGAATGAAGTTATTAATGACCTGAAGCAAGACATAAGCAGAATAGTTAGAGAAATGCTAAGTACTGCCCAAGAAAAAACAGATGGTGGAATGGAAGAACAGAGAAAAAGGGGAGAATTGTTTGATGGAGAAAATAGAGAAAGCATAGAATACGTGAAGTGGGTTCAAAGAGATTACCAGGAAACTAAAAACTATCGAAAACTGGCATAACAGCTTGAAAGAAACTAAGGACAGATTATCTGAACTGGAGGGCAGATTTGTAATATGGGAGCATGAAATGAAAAACTTCTTAAAAATAACAAAAAACCAAACAGCAATAATACAAAAACTAGAAGATGATAAGAGAATCTATAACTTAAGAATTAAGAACATAAGAGAAGACGTGGGGACACAAACAAATGGACTACAAAAGCTATTCACAGAAACAATGCAAGAGAATTTCCCTAATTTAGCAAATGGTAAAGATACTCAGATTTATGAGGCATACAGGACTCCAGCCACCTACAACCCAAACAGAGCTACACCCAGGCATGTAACAATCAAAATTCCAGAAATCCAATATAAGAACAGAATATTAAAAGCCGTCAGAGACAAGAAATAGATCACTTACAAGGGAACACCCATCAGAATTACAGCCGACTTCTTGGCACAAACCATCAAATCACAAAGAGCGTGGGGGGAAATAATTCAAGCTTTGAAAGATAATAACCTCCAGCCAAGATTGATATATCCTGCACAACTGTCCCTAGAAATTGATGGAAAAACAAGGTGCTTCCAGGATAAAGAGGAACTAGGGGAATTTGTAACCACTAATTCAACTCTACAGAGAATACTGCAGGATAGTCTAAAAAAGGAAAATACCAAGATTCCAGAAATAGTGGCAGAGAGGCCACAATGAATGGAGCAGAAAACAAAATGAAGAAGACAAACTGACAACAAACGACAGAAAAAGAGCTCAACAGAAATGAGGCAGAGAAGATCGGAAGGTAGGAACAGCAATTTTGGAGAAAACAAGACATCATAATAGCTAGTGCTGATTTAGTATCATCTTGTTTTGAAGTCCCATCAAACGTGTATTCTTCTGTCTCCATTGGTCTTAAAAGGTTGTATCTTATTGGATTTTAATATATATGATAATATAAGCAAAAACTTTTAAAGACAAGGAGTTTATATAGAAACCATTGTTCCTTTTGTATCAATTGGTTCTAAATACCCTGTAATAATGTCATTCTCTTGAATGGTTTTATTAGTGTCTTGGTATGTTTGGTGCTGCAGTATAAGAAGTTATACTCAAAGATTTCAAGGAAAGAGACACTATGGTAACTATTTTTATGTCAGGATATCTTGTGGTGAAACACTATATTGCTTATTAAACGGTTATGATTTGACCTGTGCTGTTCTGTTGTTATGCCCTCTTTTATCTCAATCCCCCCTTTTTAAATTTATTTTTTTTTCTTTTTTTAATTAAGGGAAAAATAAATGAAAAATAGCAGGATACATTATAGTAACCTACTTCGATTTCCTATTAACTTGATTTGAAATCCTGTATTGCCCTCACCATCTTGTTTTGACTGATTTTCCTCTGTTCTGCTTTGCTTGATAGTACCAAGTTCGAAAGTATAGGCATAACTTTGAAGACAATAAAAATCATTATGATGCCCATTCCGGTTGACTATTATTTTCTTTTAAAATCCTGTAATGTCTTCAATGCTTTGGTTTTATTCTTTACTGTTTAGTTCAATTTTATTATAACTGCCAATTCTTCTTAAAATAACAAGAGGCAGTATGGTAACCATTGTTGATCACCTTATATTTTGTTTTTTACATTATCTATTATGTTCATCCTTTTGATTTGACTGATTCTGTTCTGATATGTCGCTTCTGGTTTTACTCTCTTCAAAAAAAGTAATAAGAACTGTGGGAGTAATAAAACCCAAAATGTGTAATTGTCATTGTAGAAAAGAAAAGAAAAGAAAAGAAAAGAAAAGAAAAGAAAAGAAAAGAAAGTGCTCTAAGGGTTATAACTGCATGTATATTTAAGTGTATAAGATAGATAACCATATTACTGAGTGTTTTTTCGATCATTGAACAAAACTGTTTGCACTCTCACTGTTTGAAAGTCCATTTTGTATGCTTCAATTTTGTAGCTTGAACAACTTCTTCTAAGATAATATATAATCTATTAACTAGTGATTTCTTACTGTTTATTTTTTAAATTTTATATTACTTGTACTCTTTTTCTGTTTTTTTCCTTTTTCTCCTTAAATTAAAAAAAAAAAAATCACAGGCCTGAGGCACCACACATGGTAGTGAATTTGTTTTATATATGGCCATACTCTAGTTATTAACCTTGTTTACTGCAAAAGCCTAGCAACAATGTTACTCTGACAGCAATGACCACATCCAGTCCCCAGATCCCACTTCCTAAA